AAAGATGGTACAAAGATGGGTTGGTCACCTAAATAAGTTTGAATAGAATTGTGAACTTCTTTTCTAGGTCATACGCGTTAACTTGTGCACTAGATTGACGTTGCCAGACCATTTGGTGAATTGGAAATAGAAGTTAAAAGGGAATTCGGCTCCGGGTATGTATGGCTAACTTTGAACTTGTAAAATCGCCTTGTTTGGGTGTTTGAGTGCTTGGTATGTGATTTCTACGTGATTTGTTTGTGAAATTCCTGTGATTGGTATGGTTGAGTGATTGTGGTTGTGCCTTCGCTATATTGATGCAAGTAATTAGAAATAAACCAAGTTTGCGATTGTGAATGTACTATGTGGTAAGAACTGTGAAACAAGTAATGGAAGGAAATGGGAATTGATGTGATCGGAAAGACCGTGGTAGTAACATATGTGGTTTGTCGTGGGAAATTATCGTTGTGACCTATTAATGCATATGAGTAGTGGAATACATGAAAATGGTATTGATGGCTATGGAAGTTCATGTAAATCATTGTTGTTGTTTCTTGAGGATTGTTGTTGTTATTCTTTGTAAATTGTTGTTGTTGTTGTTTCTTGAGGATTATTGTTGTTGTGTTGTTTGTGAATTGTGATTGTTCGGTGGGATCGGGTTGCGCGCCGCAACACGAAGAAATAAGGTGTGGGTTGTGGTGATAAGGGTGGCCGAGGTAATAAGGGTGGCCGAGGTAATAAGGTTGGAAAGCGATCGAAATCGCTATTGAAATGAACTATGAACAAATTGTGAAATTATTGATGTGGAAATGTGGAAGGGGAAACAGGAGAGATTGCAAACTTGTTGGTTTGATTGCTCTTTCTTTGTGGATTTGATTGTTATTTCCATTACAATTACATGCTTGTTTATGGAGGAGAGATTGTATACTTGTTGGCTTAATTGTTCCCTTCTTGTGGATTTGATTGTCGCTTTTATTACTGCTACTTACTTGCTTATGGTTCGAGTTTACTTGGAGCAAAGTTTGTTCATACATACCAGTACAATTCAAATGTACTGGCGTCCCTTTTGCCGGGGGCGCTACATTCGTGTTATGATTGTAGGTGGATCCGTAGCAGGTACTCCAGTCCACCGATCGTAGCTCCCCTTCGTCCTCCATCAGCTTTTTGGTGAGCCCCTTTCCTCTCGGGGCCCTGCGTGGCTCAGGCCGCTTGTTTTCGGAGTTTTATTTTTGATTTTGTGTAAGGTATAGCCGGAGCCTTGTTACCGGCAAATACTGTATTATCCTGTTGTACTATTAGAGGCTCCGTAGACAGTAGATGTGGGTTAGAAACTTGTATAGATCCGTGTTTTCATACATTTGTAACGAGTGGGTGATTTCATTACTATTATGTAAGTATGTATGTGTTTTGTAAATTAAAAAGTGTTCTTAATTAATTATTTGGTAAATTCTTGGAATAATTGAGTAAGGAAAACATGGGGTAATATGTGGGTTAGGAAAGGCATTCAGGTTCGCTTGGCTGGGGCTACCCGGTCGGGCGCCGGTCATGTCCCTCGAATTTGGGGCGTGACACATTTGCCAAATCTTATAATCATAATGAGCAGCAATGGATAAGAGAATCCTTATAGACTTAAGCATGGCTACCGACGAGAAGGTTTCCTCATAATCGATCCCTTCTTTCTGAGTGAACCCTTTCGCTACAAGCCTTGCTTTAAAAGTTTGCACTTTTCCATCTACACCTCTCTTTTTCTTATAGATCCACTTGCATCTAATGGGTTTAACCCCATCACGTGGTTCTACAAGATCCCAGACTTGATTAGAGTACATTGACCCCATCTCTGATTTCATAGCGGCAACCCACTTATCGGCATATTTATCATGTAGTGCTTGGTCGTAATTGACAGGTTCTGAAGTATGCTCCTCAGGGATCCTATCATATGATTCTCCTAAGAGCGTATAACGAACTGGCTGTCTTATTACTCTCCCACTACGACTACGCACTACATCACTTGCAACTACACCATTTTGATTCTGTGGTTGAACCACAATCTCATCAGGAACCTGAGTCTCCATGCTATCTAAAGGGATATCAACGACTTCTTCCTGTTGTGCAGTTTGCTCTACATAACTCCCACTACTTTGTGGTGGTATGACTTCGGGCACTTGTTCTTGCGGGACATTAAGTCTATTGACATTTCTCCCACTACTAAAATGCAATGGTATGTCAAATCCGACTTCGGGGTTTTGTATATGGTCGTTTTGTTTATTAGATGACTGAGTTTAAATTCCTTCGCTTAGTTCCTGTAAAATGATTTTACTTTTAGGAACATGATTTATCAAATAGTCCTCTTCAAGAAACTTGGCATTTGTGCTAACAATTACCTTCTTTTCTTGAGGACAATAGAATAAACCACCTTTCGTTCCTTTTGGATAGCCTACAAACACGCATACATCTGTTCTTGCCTCCAATTTATCCGTTTTCCCTTTTAGCACATGTGCCGGACAACCTCAAACTCTAATATGCCGCAAACTAGGCTTGCGCCCAGTCCACAATTCCGTAGGGGTCAAAGGTACTGACTTTGAAGGAACTAAATTCAGAATGTAATTTGCTGTTTCTAAGGCATGTCCCCAAAAAGACGCTGGCAAACTGGAATAACTCATCATTGATCTAACCATTTCCATAAGAGTCCTATTTCTCCTTTCAGCTACACCATTCTATTGTGGTATTCCAGGTGCAGACAATTGAGATGTTATCCCACATTCTAATAGATAACCAATGAATTCCGCAGAGAGGTATTCCCCACACGATCAAATCGTAATGTTTTGATATGTTTATTAAGTCGTTTTTCAGTCTCAACCTTAAATTCCTTGAATTTTTCAAAGCATTCAGACTTACGACGCAACAAATAGACATATCCATATTTTGAGTAATCATCAGTGAAAGTCACAAAATACTCAAAACCACCTCTTGCCTGGACGTTCATTGGACCACACAAATCAAAATGAATTAATTCAAATTTATCACTTGCTCGATTTCCTTTTGAGGGGAAATTTTGTTTTGTCATTTTTCCTTCTAAACAGGATTCACATGTTGGTAGTGCCTCCACTTTCAATAAACTTAAAGGTCCATCCTTGACCAACCTTGAAATTCTGTTTAGATTTATATGACCCAAACGCAAGTGCCACAAATATGTTTCACTCAATTCAGGAGAACGTTTTTTCTTATTTGGTAAATCAATATAATTCAGTTCTTTAGAGTGTAACGGTTTAGGTATAGAGTCAACTACAAAAAGACCATCAATCAATGTAGCCGAAGAGAGATAATGTTTATTATGAGTAATAACACATTTATCAATGTCATGACAATTAAAATCATAACCATCTCTCATAGCGCTAGAAACCGAAATTAAATTCCTTCCAACTGAAGGTACATATAATGTGTCTTTCAAAGCTAAAACTCTACCACTACCAAACGAAATACTAATATTTCCTAATGCTAAAGCTGGGGTTGCTGAACCGTCTGCTTGATAAACATTGATTTCTCCTCTACTTAGCCGCTGCGTTACCTGAAACCCCTGCAAATAAGTGCAGATATGATTAGTGGCTCCCGAATCTACACACCATGACATGGTAGAAACAGCCGTTAAAAATGTTTCAACGACAAGTAGATGTAAATCACCTGGTTTATTTTTCAGCTTGGCCAGATAAGTTGGACACTGCTTCTTATGATGCCCAGGCTGCTTGCAATGATAACATTTGCCCTTAGCCTTTTTCACACCAGCAGTCGCGCCACCAACAGAGGGTTTTTGAGCCTTTTTCTTTTTCTGCCCGCCTCTCGGCTTAGAAGAAGAACCTGCCTCAAAATTCAACGCCACAGGAGGAGCTTGTGACTTGATAATAGTCTCTGCCGACTGCAGCTCATTCAGCAATTTCGCAAGGGACAAATCCATTTTGTTCATGTTATAATTCAGGCGAAACTGCTGAAAACTGTCGGGCAAAGTCTGCAGGATCATTTCAACCTGCGTGTCCTTATCAATGTTAGCTCCAAGGACCTCCAGTTCATTCAGAAGACTCATCATCTTCAGAACATGGTCCCTGACCGATGAACATTCAACCATTTTGGTATTCAGAAGGGCTTTCATGGCAGTCTGCTTAGCCGCACGATTCTGATCTCCAAACATTTCTTTGAGATTTTCCAGAATGTCATAAGTAGACTCCATCGAATGATGCTGATGTTGCAGAACATTTGACATGGATGCCAAAATGTAACATCGCGCCATCTCATCAGCCTTAATCCATTTCTGGTAAGCCTTTTGTTCATCATCTGTGGCATCATCTCCGGGTTTTTCTGGACACACCTCATCGAGCACAAATTTGTACTCTTCAGCAAGTAGAACAATATCCAAATTTCGTTTCCAATCAACATAATTCGGACCCTCAAGTTTGTTTTGAGTAAGAATGGCAGTAAGGGGATTGAAAGCAGTCATTGTCAATCTGGGAGACATTAAATATTTCAATAGATCAAATCAGTTTGTATTATTGAATATTAAAATTCAAAACACACTATATATACAATCTATGCACCTTGAACAACAAATTTCGATGTGAAAGAAGCTATTCTTGCAATATACATATATAATGACAGATTATCCACCCCATAAACTTAAACAGTTCATACTCAGATGGAGAGTAAACTGTTAATTTAAGCCAAGTGAATATCAACATTCAATATATATTAGTCCCATTGAACCAACATGCATACTCAGATGGAGAGTAAATACAAGTAATCAATGACTAGTATAACCTAGTGATTATTCATAATGTTTTTATCCGATATGGAAGAAGACCTACGTCAACGTGTAAAAACATTATATCACTAATTTTTAACCCCGGAGACCATGGGAATTGATCCCCACAATTACTGGAATTAAAAAAACAACTAAAAAAAATTTCAAAATTTAAAAAAAAAACAGCAAAAACACCATCTAAACGACCCCGAAAGCCCAAAAAACGGCTTACGTCATGAGCGAAGCTGATGAGTATTTGCTCACTGGGCCGTTTCGCATGGACCTGCCAAGTTTCAGGTCAATCGGAGTTCGTCAACTAGTTGACCTCCGATTTTCTGCCTTAATTCGGCCAAAACTGTTTTTACGTTTTTCATGATAAAATTCAATTTCAGATTATTCTAACTCAACATCACCAATATTAAAAGGATATTTCAATTTTTCAGAATAATCAATACAACTCATAACAGATAATCACGCCAAAACAGTGCAGGTTTTCAGAAAAAACAAACTTTGTATGTAATTCAAAACTTGCATATAGAACATGATATTAATCCTTATGGTTTATCCTAATTATTTAATTAGACGTGAGTAGACTTTGATACCAGTTGATGGATCATATTTCACAGCGGAAGCAAACATAGCATCATAATCACGTGTAATCTAAACAATTAGCACACATGGAGATTTTCGGATTACCTCTTGAAGCGTAAACACAACAACTCTATATCGTTCTCCAGTTCCTCAGTTGCAAACGCCTCAGCAGATTTCCACAGTCTTCTACTGTGTTACCCAAACAATATCCGAAAATAGAGAACTTTGGGTGGGCAAAATTCTAGTAGAAACCGTAGTGTATTCGTCTCAAGAACGTCCAGCCCTATATCCCATATATATAGCTGCGTTTTTTTAGGTCAAAACCGTTTTCAAAACCTGTTAGGTTTCCTTCTCCCACTAAGGAACAGTTTCCACTATTTCCTATTATTTAGGCACAGTAGGGACCACTGAATTTAATTAACAAGACTTCCTATTATGATATTAATTTCGAAATTATGAAATTAATTTCCATCATAATAAATTACGAATTATTCCACTAAAAATTCGTAGTTGCACTCCTTAGTTCAATTTCGAAATTCTTCCATAAAACCTTATTTAACTCCCCATGTTAAAATTCAGATACTAATCAATCAAATTAAATTACTGACTATTTAATTTATTGATTACTTCCTTTAGACTTACACTTAACTTATTTCATGTGTCGGATACAAAATCCACCGGCCGGGTTTACACATGAAAACTTATAAGCTTTCATAAAGGAGTATCATCAATCTCAAAACCGAGACATGGATTCTATCAACTAATTATTACTTCGCCAATGTATATCATTGTTATCCAATTTACCAGGCTTATTGACTCACGAAAGAATCTCGCCTTTTAATAAATCAAAACAACAAGTGACATACACAGCTAATAATAATTATATCAGGATTAAGAGTATAAGTACATTAAATGGACTAGAGAAATTATTTTATAAAGTCAGTATAAAATACTTATCTCTACTTGATCCGTTCAATACATACAAAATGTATTAGCACAAGAAGTTGGAATTAGACCTATTCCCATAATCAAGATAAATTACATTTAATCTTGTGCTACAACCATTCCGATGATTTGTCCAATTCCATCATTAGATTGTGAACATTAACTTTTATGTCTTACAAGAACCGATGATTTAATCTTCTGTGTATAAGCTAAACTCTATACACTAAATCATCTACTATGTAAGCAATGGACACACAAACCAATACATGATCTATTTAAAAGGAAACTTTATGGAATTTAAACAAGTAAATAAATAATTGGCCTTCAGAACACTGCTGCAGATTCTGAAGGCCACTCTGGCCGCGGTCCTGGCGTAACCGCGGTAGGACCGCGGCAGAACACTGCTGCAGATTCTGAAGGCCACTTTGGCCGCGGTCCTGGCCTAACCGCGGTAGGATCGCGGCAGGACGCGTAAACTTTAGGGAACATGGCAGAGGAGCAACCTAGTAAATAAATGATTGTTTATAAAGAATACTATAACAATACGCATGGCTTATAGTATATTCTAACACCTATAATTTTTAAATAATGTATTATAGGTTAGCAAACCTCTGTCGGAGACATCAAGAAAAGGATACCTTGCAGCTGTATCTGCCTCCAGTTATTCCTTTATATCTCTACTGAGGCATTTTCTTCCTATAATAAATCCAGGTAAGCTCTTGCTAGCCTTCTGTTATTTTTGGTTACTTTAGTAAAACAATATTAGTGGATCAAGTGCTGTTCCATCAAACAAATTTTCTCTGAAACTTTCAGCTATGTCCTTACCTTGTAGGCGGTGCCACAATCTCTCTAACGTACATTGCTTCTGAAAGGATTATCCCTGGGTATGACTCTCCTTAATTACGTCGGATGAACTTTCTTTATTTCTCAGTTTAGGTTTAAATTAATATTCTTCTTGGATATACAGATATGGAGGCGGTATGAGTTCGGCAAAAGCTGCTTTGGAGAGTGACACTAGAGTAAGCTTGTAGCTAGGTTTATTTTCGATAATCCATCTCTCATTTCCTTTAGCTTCAACTGTGAGCATCGCTTAAGAGTAGTGTATGCTTGCTGAAGGTCCTGGCGTTTGAAGCTGGAAGAAAGCACAAAGTCAGAGTGAACACGATATCTGCAGGTACGCATCAACACTCAGTTTCTTCATAACTTGCTGATCTTTGAACTCTGGAGTTCGCTGCACAAACCACTTCAAACATATGCTGCATTGCCAAAGCTTGTAATTTATTGTCGTTTCAGGGAGAACATGTTTTTCATGTTAGTACATGTCTTCATTTCCATTACAAACTAAGCTGTATAAAATAAATTTGGTGGATAACTTGTTCAATCATTTATTGTGTGTTCGACTCACATCAAACGTTCCTATTTTCGCCTCCTAATGTGCTCAGTCCACATAAATCTAAAATTCTATCGCCAGAAATTAAATTAGTAGATGCTTTACAGGTCCACTGGGAAGTCGTGCAGCAAAAGCTATTGGCTTTATTGACATGATGATAAATTACTCATTGGAGAATGCTCCTTTGCAAAAGGAGTTATATGCCGGTAAGTCAGATGCTTAAATATTTATTTGCCGTAGAGAATGCTAAGAAGAATCACCATGTTGCTAGTGGGGGTCAATTGTGTTCTCTTCATCTGAATTGAATTCAAAATCATACTGGTGAATGTGTCGGGTTGGAGGCTTTGAATAGAATTTAAATCGACTCTCATCTTACTGTATGCTGCACTTCTATTGCTTCCGAGTGTCTAACCTTAAAGTGGAACTAACAGAGGAGGTCGGGAACACTGCTGCTTTTCTGGCATCTACTTTGGCTTCAGCAATTACTGGTGCCACCGTGTATGTTGACAATGGTCTGAACGCAATGGGAGTTGGAGTTGACAGCCCAGCTTTTTCGGGTCTCGATATCCCAAAGGATAATAAGAGTTAGAGCGCCTTATGGTTTTGTTATCTATTATAGATTCCGCAGATAGGTCATTTCATTTCGATGAGTGAAATTGCATTTGTAGGAGGCAATCTCAGCATTGGATATGGTCCTCGTTATTTATTTAATCCTTTTGCCGATGTGCTAATTAACCATTTGCATTCAAATTTAATTCAATATGTTCAGAAAGACTGCTCGCTAGCGGAAAGACTTGCAATTGGAGTTTGACACTTTTATCGCTTATTACCTTGTGCATTCGATGAGTAAAACTGTCCTTCTGGTTTTCCGTTGCCCATTATCTTATGGAGACACAACCTACACTCAAGTGCAGGATATTTATTTGATTTGATACTGCCATTGCTCAAATCTTAGCGTCTAAATATATACACAAGTTATCCAGTAGATTTCACTCTATGCATGAACTACAGATAGGCCAGACTATTTGCCACAAGTATCAAAAGCTCAACCAATGCGTAATGAGGACATCTTCAAGATCACTTGTTTCTTGAGCAAATTTATAAGTAAATTTTGTAAACTATTTTGAATTTGCACATCTCATCGCTTTTGTTCTGTACATTTTAACGAAACGTTATCCAACCTCTGCATCAACCATGGTCATCCAGATATACATTAAAAACATACTGCGGGTCAATACTAAGTTCTCTAAGAAACAGTTCAGGGAGGAGACAACTTGTTACCAGCAGTGTCACCAATTACTACAAAAAGAAAACATTTTTACAGTAGGCATACGATAAGAGGGTTTCAGCCTTCCCCCTCCCCCTATGTAATAACAAGAAGGAACAAAATAAGATGGGAAAAGAATGTCCGCTTGTTACCTCTATGTCGAATATATTAACCAAAGAGCTATTGGCCCAAAAGGTGGGGAAGGAAAACGGATCAAAGTTAACAATTTCCTAATACTTAACCAATAACAGTGGAACTTCCTGAATCATCTCAAAGTTCTATAAGCTTCAGCCAGTCTTATGTGAGCTTTCGCTTTCCTTTCCTAATAGCAGCAGCTCTTACAGAATTATCACTTTCTGGGGAGTCTTCAACTACAGTCTGCTCCTGCAAAACCAGACCACGATTTCTGGATAACTTCCTTATTGGGGTTGTTGACACAGCTCGTTCATTTTCTACATTGTTTGATGCCGGCTGAGAATTGGCTGGTATATCAGCTTCATTTCTGTGGGGCATTAATTCTTCTCCATCACCAACAGAAGCCAGCATAAGCTGCATATGAAGAAACTAATTCAGAGGCATAGTGACTAGTAATAGAACTCCAAGGCACATTACATGTAATGGAACTAAAATGAGCATTTAAAAGATTCAAGAATGAGCGCAAAACAGCAGGAAACCTGCTGAGTAGCATAGACAAGACAGCTGCTAAATGAAAAACAGCAAATCTGTTATGCATCAGAAATGAAAAGAACAGGATAATGATGTGGTAAAACTGACCATACATCTATTATGCAGAATAATACAAAAATGAAAGTTGATCTCATCCACAAGCTTGTTAAAGCACAAATCCTTGGCCATTAGCTTATGTGAGAAGCATACTTTTAGTACAAGATAGAAAGTCATTTCAGTGTGCTAATAGTTCAATATCAACAGAAACAAAAATAAAAACCATCCATAATCCTGCTTAGAGATAGAGATAGAGATAGAGAGAGAGAGAGAGAGAGAGAGAGAGAGAGAGAGAGAGAGAGAGAAAGATAGGTACCTTCCAATCCAGGAAGTCGAATCTAAAGACGAAGTGCATATAGGAAACCTCCCCAGAAAGGACTGCATTAGAAGCAGGAGCATTCCTTGGTGCTGCATAATCATTAGTTAGTCTAGTCATGAAATATGCAGAGGCAGAAGAAGAAACTGAAACTCCAAACAACTATGGGCATAAGAAACTTACAAACTCTATGACAGCCTTTGTCATCAACGGTTATGTCAGCCCGCCCATCTTTAATTAGAAACGATAGGGCAAATAAATTTTCAACTGTTTGTGCAAATGATCTTCTATTCAGGATTATGTTTTCAAGCTTAACACTCTTATGCCTCCTTAAAATTTGGAACATCGTAGCCATATTCTTGTCAGTGTCTGTCTTCTCTTCGCCAACTGTTTCATTTAGCTGAAAATATATCAAGATATCTTAGGATACAATAAATATTACCAAAGTAAGGAAAAATTAGCTAGTGGTTATGCGGTATAAAGAAACTAAAGAAAAGTGACTACAGTCAGCAACTCGGCATTTAAAACAGAATGAGGAAACTCTAATGCAAAGAGAGATCTACAAGACAATATTCAAGTAAAATGCTTATACTATTTTAGAGATAGACTCGATTCTCCTAGAGACTTTAAGATTTCTTTAAATGTTCTTCCAGCAGTAAACATCTGATTAAATCACTTCTAAATATCATTGTTTAAAATATATTCTTCTGATAAGGTGGGAGCAATTTCTTTATCCAAGTTCTCCAAATAATAAGCAGGATGCGTAGAGGCTTGTAAATAGAATGCCATACCTCCTCAGGGCGTTCACTTTCTGTTGGCATGACACGCTTTCTACGAACAACAGGATTACGTTGCTTAACTTCAGTATTCATAGGCCCAATCCTATGAAAAATATAGATTACATGTGGTTCAATACACAAAGTGGTACATAACAAGAAAGAAGATGGATGATTGAGAATTTACATAGTGCAGCATCCAGGAGCACCCCTGAAAACATGAGAGACAGCAAGACCAACATCTTTCCAGTGTATATTTCCATCCTCTTCTGTCCTACTGCTAGATTCACCTTCTTTGCCAAAGTCCCTAAGTAAACAACTAACAAAATCTGAAGGGGTCACTCCTCCATTACTATGTGCCTTTACAGTCGTCACCAACGAGTTTGTGATATCCAGCAAGGCCTCAGCATCGGCAACCTGTTCCCTAGGTTTTTGTACTATATATGAAAAATAAAACTTCTAAAGTGAATCCAGAAAATTCAAACATGATTGTATAACTGAATCATCGGGGTTGCGAACCTATAAAAGCTAAAACAATAACATCTACTTTTTTTATGAAATAAGAAGGCCTACTATTTCATTTCTCGACAATTAATTAAACCCCAAAAGCCTAAGGGAAAACAATTAAATGCAGATTTCTCACCCTCCAACTTTAAAAAAAGTCACCAGACAGTCCGTCAGCTTTTTAAAGAAAGAAATAACATATTTTCAGCTTACACTCAATCATATACTAATAAATTTTGGATAGACAGAATAATACAATGAACCAATCATACTTATGTAAACAAGTAATAAGGCAATCAATCCAACTACTCAAGAAACCACCTACTTTCAAATGGATTCTCTCTTTCACAAATAAACAAGAGATTTAGCACCTGCACTCTGCAGATCATTTCAAGTTCTGCAACAGTACTTCAATGAAAACACAACCAAGCAAAAATCAATTGAATTAAAAACATAAGAGTAATTTTGCACATGCAAAGTACAAATTACCCGAGCAGGTAAGCCACATTCAGAAACAAAATAATATTACACATAGTATCAATGCACCAGAAACGTAAAACTTGAACCAATACCTTGCTGATGTAGCCTTTCAACTTCCTCAATTATCGTCTTAAATTTATCTGAATCAACTTGTGATATATTATCTCTCTCATCTGCAACAAACGCACAAATATTAACGCCTAATCATGCTAAAATGGCATCATGATCACCGTTAGTAATACAAAATATTCACCATAAAATCAAAGTTGGCGTGTTATATCTCAGATGGGGAACTAATCTTAGAACTCCAAAAAGAAAAAGAAAAAACCATAACATCAGAATTGACTGCTAACAAATGACATCAATCTAATAGAAGGCCAATAAGGTTTAAGTTCTGAGTGCTGACAGCATATAAGTTTTTTACACCATCAGGTTAGTTTACATATAACAATAGGTAACTCTTCGTAGTGAACACTAATTTGGTGACTTGCAAAAATAGGGTAGTAAACCTGCTATAAGAGGTTAAATTGCATCAATGGTGTAAAAGATATTTACACTATCCAAGTGAAGTACAAGCTAGAAGTTGTACAGGCTAGCCAGCCAAGGTGAGATAAAGGAAGGCCAGTGATCTGAATCAAGTGAAGTGCATCAATGATGAGGGCAAAGTTTTGATAGAACAGGCACAAATTAGGCGACAATGACAGTTGTACTTCCATAAACTCTTGAATGAAGAGGGGGATAGGAAATTGTGCTAGGTGATCAGGAGCACTCCGAGAGTTATCGTGATTTTGGATTTTGTAGGCGCATAAGAGTTGAAGAGGTCAAGGGGGCTATGCGTAGGATGAGCAGGGGTAAAGTGACTGGCCAGATGAAACCCCAGTGAAATTTTGAAAGAACGCGGGTAGGACAAGCTTGGAGCGGCTCACTGGGTTATTTAGCATCATTTTTAGGACGAAAAAAATGCCCGAAGAATAGAGGTGGGGTATGATAATTCTGTTGTACAAGCATCAAGTTGTTAAGCCATACGATGAAGATTTGGGAGAGGGTGGTAGAAGTAAGGGTGAGGAGGAGTTTGTCTATTTTCGAGAACCAAGCATGTCAGGTCGTTCGACTACGAAAGCCATTCACCTTGTGAGGAGATTGGTGGAGCAGTATAGGGAATTAAAGGACTTGAATATAGTGTTCATTGACCTAGAGAAAGCATACGACAAAGCCCCGAAAGAGGTTCTATGGAGATGTTTGGAGGCTAAAGATGTTCATGTAGCATACATTAGGATGATTAAGGACATGTACGATGGAGCTAAGACCCGGGTCAAGACGATGGGAGGAGATTCAAAACACTTCCCTGTTGTGATGGGATTGCACCAACGATCAGCCCTTAGTCTGTTCTTGTTGTCCTTGGCGATGGACGCATTGACGCGTCACATTGAAGAGGATGTGTCATGGTGTATGTTATTTGCAGATGATATAGTTCTGATTGACGAAACGCGAGGTGGTGTTAATGAGAGGCTGGAGTTTTGGCGACAAATCCTAAAATCTAAAGGTTTCAGATTGAGTAGGACTAGGATGAAATACTTGGAGTGTAAGTTCGGTGACGTAACCCAGGAAGCGGACATGTATGTGAGGCTTGATGCACGGGTCATCCCCAAGAGAGATAGTTTCAAGTACCTTGGGCGGGAGACTGATGAGAATATCACACATCGTATTGGAGCAGGTTGATGAAATGGAGGCTCGCTTCTGGTGTCTTGTGTGATAAAAATGTGCCATTAAAACTTAAAATTAAATTCTACAAAGTGGTGGTTAGACCGACTATGTTGTATAGGGCGGAGTGTTGGCCAGTCAAGAACTCTCATGTGCAGAAGATGAAAGTAGTTGAAATGAGGAGAGGTTTGTCGTGGGGGGTGGGGGAGGGGTGATTAGGCAGGACATGGAACAACTGGAGCTTACCGAGACATGACCTCTGATAGAAGGGTATGGAGGTCGAGAATTAGGATGGAAGGTTGGCAGGCAGTCAAACGTTCCCCTTTTTCTTTCCCCTTTTTCTTTCCCAGACTGATAGCATTGGTGTTAGCATGGTAACTCTTTAAATCTTTATTCTTGGATTGCTGGTACTACCTATTGTTTGATTGCAGCATCCTTTTGCTTCGGTTTGCTTAATATCTTGTTGTTGTTACCACTTGTTGACGCTGCTTCTTTGTATCTTGTCTTTAGCCGAGGGTCTATCGGAAATACTAAATAGCCTCTCTGCCCTCCTAGGGTAGAGGTAAGGCTTGCGTATAAACTACCTTCCCCAGAACCCACTTGTGGGAACTCACTGGGTTTGTTATTGTTGTTGTCAGTGTCTATAACTTAAATCCAGTAGGGGTAATAACCTGTTATAGGAAGTTACAATGCACTCAGGGTAAAAATTATTTACAGTCAGTACACTTAACTTATAATAACCTGCTAGCAAAGGTTAAAATGCACTGATAATATAAAAATTATTTATAATGTTAGTGTATATAACTTAAATCCAGTCAAATATAAAGCAGTTGAAAAAGAAATTTTCTCTACAAATAACATGAATTCAGTGAGAAACAAACTACTCAATTTGTTCACAAATTTTTTGGGAGTATTACTAATTAAAGCGGCACACTGTTTTACTTTGATTACATTCTTTCAAATGAATGTTAGTTATTCGTAACTATAAATAACTGTGAGTTGTAGGAAATCTGAATCCTGACAAAAAAAAAAGGAGCAAAATGTAGGTAAATAATGAGTTACCGGAAATCCGAGACTTAAAATTGAGATAATGAGAGCGAAGAACTCTGCGCCCAATAGTGTGATCTTCATCCACCAAACTGTTATTGTTGCTATTTCTAGCGCCTGCTGCAGCTGCTGCGCCATTACTACTTTGAATATTGTCTGGTTCACGTTTTGCGGCTCGAAACATAGCTTATTCAGGAAGCTTCTTATGACAGAATTAGGGTGAAATTGAGCGCAGAAGATTCGAGAATTGAAGAAGAATATGCGAAGAGATTAAGAAGAATTATTCGTAATATTGAAATTCGGAGCAGAAAAAAATCGCTAAAATTGAAATCTTGAAGAAGATGTAAAAACCCTATGAATTTTGAAAAAGAGTTGAAACTCCATTGAGGCGCGCTGTGAGTCACCCTCTTTCTCTCTCTCTAAATTTTCTGTCTTGTAACGATTTATACGTATATTGTGGGTGGGAGAGAGAAGATCACCTGCGGGTGTGTGCAGAGGATTAATGGTGAGCTTAACTTGATTTGCAGGTACTGCAGTTTTAACTCATATGGTCCCTTAAGTATGATGATATGTATAATTTAGTCCTAATGATATTATCTTGGGCGCATAAAGTCCGTTAAGTTTGAAACCATTGGGCAATTCTGATCCAATTGGAATATCCAAATGGATCACAATAGCTAATGAAAATTTCACGTGATCCTCCAATTTCAACACTAATTGCATTAGAAACATAAGAATTTAGACAAAAGAATCACTACAATTTTTTTAACAATTCTATTAGTAACAAAAAAATAAACCGTAATAAAGGAAAAATAATATTGGGAAAGAAAAAACGATTGTATTTCAACTAGATTGTGTGAAAGACATGTGATAGTATTTGATTTGTTGCAATATTTAAAATTTTAATTCATTTAAGGATTATATTAGTGATAGTGGATAAATTACTATATTAAATCTATATTTCTATATTATATTAAAAGGAGAGTAGTGAAGCATGTGGTTAAGCCAAGTGGCAAGCTAAAATGAAGCCATTTGGCAAATTTAAGACAACATTAAAATTTGAATTACAAATGGAAACATATTTAATGGAAGTANTATGTATTTATATCTATATCTATATCTAAAGATATGGTAGCTTATTTTTTCTATAAATATAGTAGTTTACGTCTATACAAAACTGCAAAATATTTTTTTAATAAAAAAAATAATCTGATTTTGAATTTATAGATAAAAATATTTGTGTTGAGATAAAAGAAAAGTTCATTTGCTGATGGAAAATAATACAAAAATAGCAAATATTAAAAATAACAGTAAATTTAAGACAAAATAGTAAAATTATTTATTTTTTTATATTTGAAAAAAATCAAATTTTCAATTTGATTTAAATTTGATAGTATTNATCAAAATTACAATTTGATTTAAATTTGATAGTATTTCGAATTTATCTAAACAACTTTACAATAGGGCACATGGCAATTTAGGACAAAGTTAGTTAGGTTAGATAACAATTAGTTTTTTTTTAATTTAAATTTTTATAAATTAAAATTATGTATTGTTAATAATTAGTTACTTTCCTTGAGTTTTACAAATTTAGATTTTTGAAATAATTTTAAAATAAAAAATAAAAAGAAGAAAATAAAAAAAGAAACTATCAATTCAAATTTAGGAGCAGTTGCTTCCTAATATGGTAGATAATATCTATAAAAAGCTGCCAAATATTTTTTTGATAAAGAAAATAATTTGATTTTGAATTTATAGATAGAAATATCTGAGTTGAGATAAAACAAAAGTTCATTTACTTATAGAAAATAATACAAAATAGCAATTATTAAAAATATCAATAAATATACTGGTAAATGTAAAATTACTTTCGTGTTTATATTTTAAAAAATTCAAAATTATACTTTTATTTATATATGATAATAATAATTACTTCTTCTTTTTAATTTAAATTTATACATTATGTATTGTTATAATTAGTTACTTTCTTTGAGTTACAAATTTAGAGTTTGAAATTATTTTAAAATAAAAAACGAAAAGAAGAAGAATAAAAGAAACTATCAATTCAAATTTAGAAGTAGTTTCTTCCTGATATGGTAAGTTATATCTTAATATTGATAAACAGCCAAATTATTAATATTAATAAAGAAAGATAATTGATTTCAAATTTATAGATAGAAATATTTGATTGAGATAAACAAAAGTTCATTTGCTTATGGAAAATAATTCAAAACAGCAATTATTAAAAATATAATAAATATGATGGATAAAAAGTAATAATTACTTTTCTTTTATATTTTATAAAACTCATTAATTATAGGCAATATTTATTTATATATGATAGTATTTCGATTATATGTAAAATTTAAAATGCAAAAAAGTAATTATAATATTATAATAGAAAAAATGTACAAAGGTGAAAATAGAGATAATATGAGAATATTTCAACATTATATTAATTTACAAAAATAAAATAAATTAAGTAAATAATATAAATATTATTGATAAATTTAAAAAATTGAAGAATTGTGAACAATAAAATAAAATTTAAAATATTTTTTGAGAAGTAATGTTGAAAATGATATATAATTCATTTTTCTTTAATTTCATATAGTTTAGTTAATGAAATATTGTATTGACAGTAAGATGCCAATTGAAATTTTATTAAGGCAACATGATATAGTATACTATAAAGATAAATTATAATTAAAATAATTAATATTTTTAATATTGATCGCGCAACGCGCGGGTTCTAATACTAGTTAATGGTAAAAGTCATTTTTTAGGGAAAGCATCATCTAATTTTTAAAAGTTGAATAGTTTAATGAATTTATTACAAATTAGAAATTGAATAAATTAAATAGGGCTAATTATTTTGTAATTTCCTAAATAAAAAGAGTTAACTACTAACTTATTTTAACAAAGAGATTTTTTCTTTCCTATACCATATATGAAACCTTATTACCCAAAATGTGCATAGTTTCTAATTTACCCGCCCTGTCCACATTTTTTCTACAGTTATTATACCAATCATTAAATACTAATTAATAGTAGTTGAATCTTCCTAATTTGTCGAGCCAAAATTGAGGAACGGAATATTCTAAAAAGATTTGGCGTAAATCAGATCAAATCATATTCTTCCAGATATTCCTATTTAGGCGCGCTACAATTATGGAAGTAAATATTCTTCCAGATATTTTCCACCATTGATAGACATTAAAAAGCTTGAAAGCTTTGAATTCAAATTTGGGTTTTCAAAAATCATTATTTATTTGGATTGGGTGTTGTTGAAAATAATCGGAAATATGGTTTGGAGTTTATATCTCAATTTTGAGGGGTTTTGGTGAAGATTAGACTTGGTTTTGACTGAAATTCAAATTGAAACTCGAAGAAGAAGAAGAAGAAGACATATTGCAGAAATTGTAGAGAAATTGTTGATATATTGTAGATAAATTGTAGATTATTTGTATTCTGATTGTAGATGTTTTATTTTCTGTTTTCACAAATAAAAAACGGCTAAAACTTCTACAAATCTTCTGAAAAAACCTAATTATGTCAAAAATCACAATTATGCTACAATTGGATGGGAATTGGGATATAAAAATTCAATGTACCCAGTTTGTAGATATTTTATAGATAAATTGTAGATTATTTGTATTCTAATTGTAGGTGCTTTGTTTTCTGTTTTCACAAATCAAAAACGACTAAAATTTCTACAAATCTTCTGTAAAAAACACAATTATGTCGAAAATGCCAATTATGCTACAATTGAAATGGGAATATGGATATTAAAATTCAATGTATCCAGTTTGTAGATATTTTGTAGATAAATTGTAGATTATTTGTATTCTGATTGTAGATGCATTGTTTTCTGTTTTCACAAATCCAAAACGACTAAAACTTCTACAAAATCTTCTGCAAAAAACAGTCTACAATTTATCTACAATTTATCTACAATTTCTGCAATATGTCTTCTTCTTCTTCTTCTTCTTCTTCTTCGAGTTTCAATCTTAATTTCAGTCAAAACCAAGTCTAATCTTCACCAAAACCCCTCAAAATTGTGATATAAACTCCAAAACATATTCTCAATTATTTTCAACAACACCCAATCAAAATAAATAATGATTTTTGAAAACCCAAATTTGAATTCAAAGCTTCAAAGCTTTTTAATGGCTGTCAATGGTGGAATTGCTACTCTCTTGTCTCTTTGAAGGTTTGTTCTTCTTCATTGAGAAAATTTGAAGCTGAAGGTAAATATGTGTATGAACTTTGAAGATTTGACTAAATATTTTGATGAACTTTGTTGTTCTTCATTGATGAACTTCATCTCGAGTAAAATGGGGAACCAACTTTGTTGAAGGGTTTCTTCAATTTTCTGTGAATTTAGAGGGAGAATTTGGTTTCAGAAGATGGAAAATGGTAAAAAGAACGTGGGTATGGGTAAAACGTGGGTGGGACTGAGGGGTTAGGAGAGAGAAACGTGCAGATTCCTTTAATTAAGGAGTAAAAAATGTACAATTAATTATAATCTTAATTAATTATGGTATAGAATTGATAATTTGGTATACTAAGTGTAATTAAGTCAAACCTTAAACATTGAGGGTAATAAGGTTTCCTATGTGGCATAGGAATGTAAAAATCTCTTTAACAAAAAGTTTCATGAGGAGTAGGCCCAAGTGCTCCGCGGCTAAAATGTGAATTTGTTGGGTTAAGGACCAAACGACAGTAGAAGAATGCTTATTCATAACCGAGGTAGCTCAACAAGATTGGAAGCCTAAATCCAAAATTTAGAGCCCGTTTGGATTGGCTTGTTTTAAGTGCTTTTAAGCCAAAATAATTTTTAAGCCATTTTGTAGTGTTTGGATAAAGTAAAAAAGTGCTTTTAAGCACTTGTTTTTAAGCTAAAATGACAAAAACAAGCCAAAAGCAAAAAGTTAGAATTCCTAATTTATGGCTTAAAAGCTATTTTGGCTTAAAAGTCACTTAAAACAAGTCCATCCAAACAGGCTCTTAATCGGAAGCTTTTTTTGAAACAAAACCAAATGTTTTAAAAGGCGGGAGCGTGAGGCGAAGCGTTTTACCTCTGAGGCGAGGCGTAAGTCCCAAGGATCTTTAAATTTTACTAATTTCAAGAATTTTAAGATAGTATAAAATAAAAATTAATTACAAAAATTACATTAAAATCACAAAATTATAACAAATAATCTATTTAAAATAATTATAAATTATAATTTCAACTATGAATATACCAAAAGTATGACATATATCATAATATGCAAATTAGTTGCAACGCCGTTACAACTCAAACATCAAAAGTAATGTATTCGATGCGAAATTTTATATGTCTCTTTTAAGGAGTAATGAATCTTGAAAGAATTTCGATATTATAATTTGATATTTGTTTTAAATACTCCTTTTATATAATATGCTTTCTATTTGA